TAAGTCTGACCAGATTGTCTTCTCTAGGGAATCCGGTTCTCCACCAACTCCTGGGGGATGCCTGGGGCTTGAGTCTATGCCAGGCTCCACTTCTGTCCAGAACCTTTCATTCCAGAAGTTTCAACCAAGTGTATGTGGCATGGCACCAGACTTGTTGGACTTGCCACTATGCATGTCGAGTATACCTGGTTCACAGACGGCAGCAGTTTCATTTGAGAGGGGAAAAGATACGCAGGCACAGCAGTCACCACGGACACTGAGATAGTGTGGGCAGAAGCACTCCCCCAGAGAACGTCTGCACAAAGAGCAGAGCTAGTGGCACTCACAAAAGCCCTACAATTGGGAAAAGGGAAGAGACTAAACATGTACATGGATAGTTGGTATGCTTTTGCCACTGTGCATGTCCATGGAGCCATTTACCAAGAGAGGGGGCTGCTGACAGCTGAGGGAAACACTATTAAAAACAAACAAGAAATTTTAAGCCTCATCTGGGCCATATAGGAACCAGCAAATATTGCCATTATGCACTGCCCTGGCCATCAAAAGGGAACTGATTCTATAACCAAAGGAAATAACTTGGCCGATCAGGCAGCTAAGGAGGCGGCCCTCCAGCCCAGAGTGGAAGTACTGACTCTAGTAGACCCAGGGCCACGAGCTTTGCCTCCTGAGCCTCAGTACTCCCAAGAAGACTTGGAGTGGATAAAGAAAATTCCCATGGCCTATAAACCCCCGGATAGAGAAGGAAACAAAGACTGGTGGAAAACTGGTGAGGGGAAACTTATCTTGCCACAAAGATTGGGCAAGGGGATTCTTAAGAGAATCCATCGGGTCTCTCACATGGGAACCCGAAGAATGCAGGACTTGCTCCGACACTGAGAAGTAAAAATTAGGCAAGGAAATCAACTCATTGAAGACAGTGTTAAAAATTGTAAAGCCTGTCAGCTTACCAATGCCCCCAATCAACTGGTTACAAAAGGAGCTCGCTTCCGTGGAGATAGGCCAGGTGTACATTGGGAAGTAGACTTCACAGAAATTAAAACTGGAAAATTTGGATATAAATATTTGCTAGTTTTTGTAGACACCTTTTCAGGATGGGTTGAAGCCTACCCAACAAAGCATGAGACCGCGAACGTTGTGGCTAAGAAGATCCTGGAAGAAATCCTACCCAGGTATGGCTTCCCATCCACCATCGGGTCAGACAATGGACCGGCCTTCATCTCAAAAGTAAGTCAGGGAATAGCTGCAGCATTGAGGACGGATTGGAAATTGCACTGTGCTTATAGACCCCAGAGTTCAGGGCAGGTAGAAAGAATGAATCGGACTCTAAAAGAGACCTTAACTAAATTGGCCTTGGAGACTGGTGCAGACTGGGTATCGCTCCTTCCTTTTGCCCTGTTTAGAGTAAGAAATTCACCCTATCAGCTTGGCTTTACTCCTTTTGAAATAATGTCTGGACACCCTCCACCCATTATCCCTATACTTCAGTCTGAATTGCTTGTTGATTTAGATGATACTGAATTTCTGTGCAAGCTTGACTATTTACAGCTGGTAAGAGAATGTGGCCCCAGCTTAGAGCATTATATGATTCTGCTTCTATTCCTACCCCCAATTAGTTTAAACCAGGGGACTGGGTGTTTGTTCAAAGGCACAACTTGAGATCTCTGGAACTACGGTGGAAGGGACCTTACATGGTGCTACTGGCTACACCTACTGCTCTTAAGATGATGGCATTGCTGCTTGGATCCACTGCTCCCACGCCAGACCGGTTGACCCCTTTGCCCTGGACGACCGTGGGGAAACATGGGAAGTCTCCAAGTATCCTACCCAACCACTCCGCATATGCCTCAAGAAAAGAAAAATGAACTGATTGTTATTGGTATTGTTGTTTAATAGTATGGCTAAGGTCAGAGAGGGACTATACCTGTTCAAGATCAAGAGCTGTTGGAGTTAGTTTTCGCCCGGAGCCACAAGATTGTCTCAGGACCATAAGTCAAGGGGTGGGGGGAATGAAGGGTTAAAGTTTTGAGGCAGTGACCACTTGTTGCTTGTTTCTAGCAGAGCAATACGTGGTGGTAATCCAAACACCTGGTTGGTTGTGTGCCTTTATAACCCTTGCAAATCTTGAGCTCGGGGCTCTCCTCCTAGGCTCTGCTGTGTCTGAGTGTAGGACGAGGCCCGAGCTGCAGCCCATTTAAATAAAACCTTAAAACAGCTGTAAAGTCTGACTCTGGGTGGTATTCTTGGTGGGGGTCCTGCGACCTAGGCACAACATTGATGACTGAGACAGAGCCTGACCTCAATGCCAAAGGCTTTGGCTGAGCTCTTCACATGAAGAGCTTAACCCAAGGCAGGGGATTGTTAAAGTACAGGAGGCCCAAAGAGGCCTCTGTTTGAATACCTGAATTCTCACACAATGAATGGAAACCAAACTTGGTTATAAACTCAGGGAAAGTCTAACAGAGGTGTACACATTGCAACAACTTGCTGGGTCTCCACCAATTCTAGCCAATCCCATGCCAATCATTTTCAAATAAGGACACTACTGACCTTTTCCAGTCAGCACATCTCTACCTCACTTCCGTTTCCTTCCAACAGATGTCCTCCAATCGTGTTCCACCTCGCTTTTACTTCCTCTCCACTGACATCCTTCAACACCTTCTACCTCACTTCCGGGTGTTCCCACTGATGTCCTCCAATCACGTTCCACCTCACTGCTGCTTTCTAACCACAGCTGTCCTCCAATCACGTTCCATCTGATTTCCGTTTTCTTCCACCAGACATCCTCCAATCAGCTCATCTCTACTTCACTTCCATATTCTTCCCACAGCTGTCCTCCAATCACGTTCCACCTCGCTTCTGCTCTTCCCACAGCTGTCCTCCAATCACGTTCCACCTCGCTTCTCTCTTCTTCCCGCAGATGTCCGTCAATCATGTTCTAACTGACACTTCTCTGGGCCTGTTCTGGACCTAAGGATTACCTGGTTTGTAAATGATTTTGCTCAATTAAACTTTAATCATGTTAATTTTTCATGCTTCTCTTCTTAAGCAATCTGAACCGGGTTTGTGCCTTCTTCATTAATGCTAATGCTGACACTAAATTTCTGACCCTAAATGTGAATCCTGTGGATTAAATCGATGTCTGAAGACCCCATACTCTATCAGAACCCCACTCTGCTCCACAGTGAAATGCAATTTCCCCTTGGCCTCACTGCAGCGCTGGTGCTGAATCCTGTTTTGTTTATGGGGATTATCGCCCTCTGCCTCCTGTGAAGCCCACTCACGAGGTTCACCTGGTCTCCATGCCAGTGTGACCCAAGCCAAACTCATCAGCTTCCCTTCACAAGACTCTCCTCCTCAACCAGCGCTGCCACCACGTGTCCCCATCCGCAGGTCTGGAAGCACGCCTCAGTCCCTCCCTTCCCCCAACACAGCCCCTGCATGGTTCTTGGATGGGTCCTAGCCACTCCATCCCACACCAGGCCCACTGCTCTGCCCAAGTGGTGCCCATCTCTGCCCTGGACAGCCCCACAGGCTCCTCCACAGTCTCCCTGCTTCCCACTGGGCACCGCCCATCTCCACACCTGAGCAACGGACTGTGGAAGGCAGGAATTTGAGGGGTCCCACCCTCAGCATCAACCACGCTGCCCGCCACACCGTGACCTTGGGTCTCACTGCCTGCTGTAGCCGGTGTTTGCTCCGTCCCCAATCTCGACGGTCTCTGCAGTCTCTCCGTTGGTAAAACCAGGCTTCAACATCAACAGCATCTTCAAGCTCTGAGAGAGTTCATGCTGCTCCCCGCCTCTGATTTCCCTCTCTGTACTCTAGCATGAACGACTCTCATTTCTGTTGAGGTGAGCATGTCCAGGCGTCTCACCTCGCTCCCCCAAGTGTGCTTGCTTTGCCTTCTTTGCCCCAACGCCCCCATGTTTCCTTCTGCTCTGCACACCACCGCCATCACACCTGCTGGGCCTATGAGTTAGTCAGGTGCTGGGTTCCTAGGGTCCACAGTGAACAGGACCGATGCCACCCCAGGTGCCTGGGCATCTGGGAGCATTAGAAAAACCAAGGCTATCAGCTCAGGCAGTAATAAAACACTTTATATGTTCTTAGCAGCTGGATGCCTCTGGGCTGGGTGGGCATACAGGCCGTGGGCTGGGGTGGATGTACAGGCTGTGGGTCAGAGTGTACATATAGGCTGTGGGCTGGATGTACAGACTGTGGACCAGGGAGGATGTACAGGCTTGGACCGGGATGGACGCACAGGTTGTGGGCCAGAGTGCACATACGGACTATGTGGATGTACAGGCTGGTTTTCCTCAGGATTATCACTATATAAGTCCAACCAAGCACTAGCAGTGGTAGCTCACATCTATAATCCCAGTTACTCAGGAGGCTGAGATCTTAGCATCTTGGTTAAAAGCCAGCCTGAGCAAGAAAGTCTATGAGATTTTTATCTCCTCAACCAGCAAAAAGCAGGGGGTGTAGCTATGGATCAAGTGGTAGAGCACTAGCCTTAAGACAAAACAGAACACATACACACACACACACACACACACACACACACACACACACACACACACAAGTCCACACACTGTCACAATTCTCAGCACACCTTGCAGTGGGACTCTTGTAGCTCATTTGTTAAATATTCTAGTATTTTAACACACAGCTCACTGAGAGTGGTAAACCTCTCATGGCCGGCACATTCCACGCTCCTCAAATGTGCTTGGTAATTTTAAAGGTGAGGAAAATGTATTACACTTCGAGAAGCCCTGCTTTGCTCAGATGAAAACAATGAAACCATGGGATGATCAGACCAACAATGCCTATGATACCACTCTCCAGGACTGAAGGGAGAAGAGAGATGAGAGAGCAAATTTTAATGGAATGCAGCACACTACAGCAATGCAAGGAATTCCCCGCCCAGCTCCTCATGAGTGCAGTTGCAGGTGACATCCCGGTGCTGCTCAGTGAAGTTACAGGAAGCAGAGGCGTGTTCACTATGGCGGAGGAGCGTGACTCAAGCCCAGAGCCTTCCTCAAGGCTTCCTTGAACTCTGTGTTCCTCAGGCAGTAGATCAGGGGGTTCAAGATGGGCGTGAGGACGGTGTATAAGACAGAGATGAGTTTGTTGGAGCTGCGTGTGTCAATGGCCTGGGGACGCACATACATGAAAAGCAGAACGGCCAGGGTGATGTGTCCATAGGACAGGATGGTGGCCACGAGCGGGAACACCAGGATCATGAAGGCCAGGATGAAGTCCACCAGCTCAGCCGTGGAGAAGTCCGTGCAGGCCAGCTTGAGGATGGGTGAAATGTCACAGAAGAAGTGGTTCAGGACGTTGGAGCCACAGAACGTGGCACTGGAGATGAAGTAGACCTTGATCACAGAGATGGTAAAGCCGCTGGCAAAGGACAGGACCACCAGCTGGACACAGAGCCCCGTGGTCATGATGACCTGGTAGCGCAGGGGGTGGCAGATGGCCACGTAGCGGTCGTAGGCCATGGAGGCCAGGAGCACGCACTCGGTGCACACCAGGGAGCTGAAGAAGTAGAGCTGGGTCATGCACCCGACAAAAGTAATGTGTTTGCGCTGCAGGAGGAAGCCGTCCAGCATCTTGGGGATGATGTCACACACGTACCAGATCTCGATGGTGGACATGATGCTCAGGAAGTAGTACATGGGCCTGTGGAGGGAGGTGCTGCTCCAGACAGTGAGGATGATGGCCAGGTTCTCCACCAGCACAGAGAGGTAGATGAGCAGGACGAGCAGGAAGAGCAGGAGCTGCAGCCTGGGGGCTGTGGGGAAGCCCAGCAGGATGAAGGTGCTGACCCTGGTGATGTTCTCCCCCCTCATCCTTCTGTGCCTGCAAAAGACCAACAAGAAAGTGGAAAGGCCAGAGGACAGCTGAGGGGAGAAGGTGGAGTTAGCTTGGCTCACAGATGCCACACCTGGCTCTCTCCAAGACCAGAGGAACAGACCTCCTCCAAATCGATTGCCCACCCCAGGTACGCCACGGTAAGCATAGCTGTGTGGCTCACATCCACTGTAACCTCCAGGATGCTCTGGTTCTTCGTTCCCTGCTCCTCCTAGCTCAGGGTGCCCGGGGTGTTTTCCTTTTGTCTGACCATTCTTTCTACCTTGGTGGATGGTAGGCGTTTGCTTGGCTTCGGCGTGGTTTAGATGGGAGGCACCCAGGAAGGTGGACTGGGTCCGCCCAGCCTGGCCCCACAGCAGCCTTCCCCAGGGCTGAGTGTTTAGAAGCAGCAGAGGAGCAGCCACGCCTCTGTCTCTCCAAGTCAGAGGGGAAATCAGTGAACAGGAGGGATCAGCACAATTCTAGATGCCAGAAGCCTGTTGCTGACAGTTTTCAGGGGCAGCCGCGTGGAGATCTAGAACATTCTCCAGGGTCTGTAGCTGGATGAGAATCCATCCTCCCCACCCAGGGCAAGAGCAATGGGGTGGGGAAGGGCTGAAGATGGGAGCCAGGGCTATTCACAGCCCATTTCATGAGCCGTCCAGCACCTGCCCCTCGGGGAGATCTCCAGAACCAGACCCAAGGGGACCTGGTTCTCACCAGGTCCCAATAACTGAACAGAAGTGCTCACCTTCCTGCAGCCCAGGGAGATGCGGTCACCACCATTTTCATAGGCTAAGACAAAGGCTGCGACTCACCTGAGACCGTGGCTGTCACTGGACACAAGCCCAGGTCCTCCAATGTGGAGCCCGGTGAGCACTTTGTGTGTGACTTCAGCAGCCAAGCACTGCCTGGAGATGCAGAATCAATCAGACGGAAGATCACACTGTTGGTGCCTTCCAGAAATTCTCTAGCAGGCCAGAAAACCTGGGCCTCAGAGCTCATATTCAGAAATGCAGGCAGAGATCCTGAGAAAGAAATTCATGGTGGGTGGGCGTCCATGCTGACCCCAGAGCTACTGGCTCTGTGCCCTAACACAATGCACACAATGACAGCGGCCATGGAAATAACACAATGCACACGGGTACAGTGGCCACAGAAAGAACACAATGCACAGTTACAATGGCCACAGAAAGAATACAATGCACAAACAATTACAGTGGCCATGGAAACAACACAATGCACATGGTTACAATGGCCACAGAAAGAACACAATGCATACAGTTACAGTGGCCACAGAAAGAACAAAATGCACATGGTTACAGTGGCCACAGAAAGAACACAATGCACACAGTTACAGTGGCCACAGAAAGAACACAATGCACACAGTTACAGAGGCCATAGAAATAACACAAATGCACAAACGGTTACAGTGGCCACAGAAAACTTGGAGAAATCATCTTTCATAGCACAACACTCAACTTATCTCTCAAGTACAAACGGAATATTTCTAACATAGTAAGTGCAGAAAACTGTCATCATTGAGGGCACTCGGAATGGATGTTCACAGCCCGTGTCCCCACGTTCCCTGGCTACTATCTGGAACCCTCTTGAGTGACACTGAAGAACAATGTATTCGGCTGCCGTCTCCAAACCCACCTTGAAATTTAGCTCTGCCGAACGCAAGCCATTCTTGTAATCATCTAGAAGCAGAAGCAGATGCAGATGACCAAGACAATGCAGGACAGAGAAGAGAAGCAGGACTGGAGAAAATACAATGAACATGAAAGGTGGGTCACTCCTGCAGTCCCGCTGCAGAGGGGGCCAGGACTGTGTTGATGCATGGGGGGAGAGGCACAGGGCTGGGGAGGGCACGGGGCTGGGGAGGGCACGGGGCTGGGGAGGGCACGGGGCTGGGGAGGGCACGGGGCTGGGGAGGGCACGGGGCTGGGGAGGGCACGGGGCTGGGGAGGGCACGGGGCTGGGGAGGGGCCGCTGCACTTGGGCACTGCTGGCCCCAGTAAGGGCAGCATGTCGGCGGCCAGCAGCCATCAGAATTCAACCGCAGGGAGCCAGGTACACAGTACTCTTGGGAGACACGAAAACGTGGATGGAATTTGGAACGCTGACACAATCTCCCCTCTGTGACACGTGGAATGGATAACGGGATCGTAGCGGAGGTTTCTCAGACCTCAGTTCTGCAGCATTCCCAGTGGCAGTGGGAGGGTCGGCGAGCAGGAATTCCAAGTTTTACCAAGAGCAAGTGGGACTCTGTGCGGCTGCTCCTTGTGTGGGGGAAGGTCCGTTCCCAGGAGCAGACTGCAGCCACGATGAGCTGGGGGCCTGGGAGCCAGAGCTGGGGGGCCGGGGTTCCCCCAGAGTGGCTTGCAGAAGGGAGGGGACCTGGGGTTGCAGACCAGCTGGGCTGGCTGGAGCTCTGTCTGGTCCTGTGCATCCTGGCACTGCCAGGAGCCCAACCTGGACAGAGCAGGACAGGCCAGGATGGGCTAGGATGGGCCAGGATGGGCCAGAACGGGTCAGGATGGGTCAGGATGGGTCAGGATGGGCCAGGACAGGTCAGGACAGGACAGGGCAGGCCAGGATGGGCCAGGACAGGTCAGGACAGGACAGGGCAGGCCAGGATGGGCCAGGACAGGTCAGGACAGGACAGGGCAGGCCAGGATAGGCCAGGATGGGTCAGGATGAGCCAGGATGGGCCAGGATGAGTCAGGACAGGTCAGGACAGGACAGAGCAGGCAAAGACGAGCCAGGCCAGGATGGGTAAGGACAGATCTGGATGGGCCAGGATAGGCCAGGATGTGTCCGGACAGGCCAGGATGGGTCAGGATGGGGCAGGACTGGCCAGGACGGGGCAGGATGGGCCAGGACTGGCATGTCTGGCTCCCAGCTGGCCCTCTCCCTCAGCCCAAATCTGGAACAGTGTTTACAGGACACTGCTCTCTGGGCTTCATGGGTCCTCAAGCTCCCAATTGCAAGGAAGGGGAGGGTCACCGTGGACACCTACCTTGGAGAGCGGGGGGAGGGGCTGGCTCAGTGGCCGTCCTCGCCCTGGCGCCGTCCTCACCCTGGTGCAGCCGTCTGGCGCCCCTGGCCAGACTCAGACACAGCCTGGCCAGTCCTGAGAGCTGCGGGCCCCGACCGGAGTGACAACCAGTTTAAAGAAGGCATTGGGGAAGAAGGGCCCTTGGTGTTCCTCTCCCCAAGCCTGGACAACAGACTCCAGGGTCCAATTACCTGCTGTGAGCCGAACTGTCCCAAACTACCAATTATCTCAGGTCTCCTGTGCCGGATGGTGTCTGGTTGAGGGGCAGGTGGCACAGGCGGGCAGGAAGCAGCCTGCTGCACCTCTCTGCTGCCCAACCCCCCCAACCCCTGCCCCACGCTCAGGCCCATGGCTGCAGCCTCTCATACTGTCCATTCAGTCTCTGGCTGCACAGCCCCGTACCAACCCCATCTTCTGTCTCCAGGGCAGAGAGGGCTGTGGCTCTCAGAGTTCACAGAATCTTCCAGATCCAATGACCAGGTCTGGCCCAGGGAGGCAGGCCCAGGAGGTCCACTGCTCAGGCCAGAGCACATAGGTGCTGTCACTCAGAAGAGAGCAGAGAAGGTGGAGCTTCTGGGCAGGATGCCACTGTGTTCCCGCAGAGAAGCCCAGCAGCAGGATCTCAGGTGAAGAGGCCACCTGCAGACGGCTCCCAGAAAGAAAGATGCGCGCGCCGCAGAGAAGCGCTGTGCCCAGACAGGGAGGGGAGTGAGGCGTGCTGAGGAGTCACAGTCCTGGAGCTGCGTGTTCCAGTTGCCGCGGAGAAGCGCTGTGCCTAGACAGGGAGGGCAGTGGGGCGTGCTGAGGAGTGACAGTCCTGGAGCTGCGTGCTCCAGCCACTGCGGAGAAGCGCTGTGCCCAGACAGGGAGGGCAGTGGGGCGTGCTGAGGAGTGACAGTCCTGGAGCTGCGTGCTCCGGCCACTGCGGAGAAGCGCTGTGCCCAGACAGGGAGGGCAGTGGGGCGTGCTGAGGAGTGACAGTCCTGGAGCTGCGTGCTCCAGCCACTGCGGAGAAGCGCTGTGCCCAGACAGGGAGGGCAGTGGGGCGTGCTGAGGAGTGACAGTCCTGGAGCTGCGTGCTCCGGCCTCCCACGGTCGCCCCCCTCGCTGCACCTGCCGCATGGGCAAGTCCTGTGTCTGGGTTTCTGATGGGACTTGGTATAACAGGAATCAGTCTTGATCCGCACTGATTATCAGCTATCCGCTTGTGCCTCCTGGTGCTGCCAGACAGTAGCTGTTTACCAGTGTAAGCAAGAGACAGAACCACTCTGTCACTTCCCAACACAGAGCAACTCAGATCAGACTGAGGCGTGGGCATAACTGAACCAACAAATGGACAAAGGAAGAAGTATTTATTTATAGACCTGTTAATTTCTGATATATACTATTTCCATCCTTGGTTGTGAGTGATTTCCATCCTACCCCGCCCTTTTCATTAGGCTTGTGAAAGACTTTCAATTTTGTTGGCACTCCAGAAGAATCAGCTTTGTGTAGTGGGTTTTAGAGAGTTCCTACTCTCTTCTCCATTATTTCCTTCTGTTTATTTTACATTTAATTTGTGTTTCCCTTTGCCCTCAGATTTTACAGTAAAAGTGTAAAATTAGTTTTTCCCATTTGTGTGTGTGCATGTGTGTGCGCACACATGTGCGCACGCATGCGCGTGCACACACACGCGTGCGCGCGCGTGCACACACACACACACACCAATCTTGGGACTTGAACTCAGGGCCTGAGTGCAGGCCTTGAACTTTTGTTCAAGCTCTACCACTTGAACCACAGCTCCACTTCCAGTTTTTTTGGTTGTTAATTGGAAATAAGAGTTTCATGACTTTCCTGCCTGAGCTATATTTGAACCATGACCCTCAATCTCAGCCTCCTGAGTAGCTTAGATTACAGGAGTGAGCCACTAGTACCCAGCAACATCTTCTTTTTTAA